TGGTGGCTAAAAATTTGAAAACAACCGATAGTGCTGTTTATTACATGCGATCCTATTATTATTATAACGTACTGTGAAATTTTTATCAAATTACAAGCCTTATCAAAACTAAATTTCCAAGCTAATTCACTACAAAAAGATCAGGAAGATAGGAGAAAATGCTCACTAATACGTGGTAATATGACCCTTTTCGCAAGTATATGGTTTTTTCCTTTAAAAAAGGAAAGGATTTTTGCAGCATAGCGGTACTTTTACTGAAATTACTCACAGAGGAGTCTCATCAGTGATTTTATATTGCTTTTTGATGGTAATATTCCGCTGAGGTCCGAATTTCTAGGAGAGCACGCACCGGTGGCACACAGGTGAGGGTTATAATGACCTTAATGGTCCGCGAAAGATATGCTGCACAAGCATAAGAGCATCTAGAGTGCACCATGTTGTTCAAAATATAACGAGTAATCCAAAAATTTCTTCAAATGGGTGGAAAAAGTTCCTGGGTGAATAGTTAGAATTGCGTGCCACTTGCTATTCGTGCGCTACGCGCAGCAATTTTTACTGCCGTTCCGAACACATTGATATGGATTTTGATCTCTCCAGTTGCCATTGCACGATTTACATTGTAAGACATACAAATGAATCGAAGACCGTGATTGCCTTGAAATGCTGCCTTATCACATGTTTTTCCAGGAGTTTAAGGTGGACGCTCGATTTTCACTAGTGGTCCACTAACCTATTGTTATAACCTGAATTATTGCCTGGAATTATCACAATTACTGAAGGCGAACCATCCAAGTATTTGAATAATTAGTGGCCCAAGACTTTTGTTCAAATCGGTGACGGTGGCAGCGATGAAAACCTGAAAATATCATAGCAGCGATGTTTGAGAGTTCCAACATAAACTCATCCAGTATACAGCAAGATTTGCATTTCAACGGAATTCATAATTACAACTCCGTGTGGATCTTGACAATTTATGCTTTCGATCCGCATCCTCGCATTCGTCGTCCTTAAGGTATTCAAGCATATAAACCAAAACGTTAAGCTGTAACTCCTTTTGACGCCCACTTGCCGAGCGGACATTTTACTATCGGACTTGAATTTTTGTCTTTCTCCGACGCGTTTGTCGCGTTCACAAGATACATCTCCGTGTTCTCAGAGGGATTGGGAACCTTCATGTTGAGTATATTCAATATTCAGCGAGTTTTGTTACTACTCTCGTTTGCTCGCTGCACTAATTGTGTACATTAAGGTGAGCCTACTGATCACTTAATTGATTCCATCATTCATCATCACAATCTTTCAATCATGTTTTCTGAACCCTCGCTTGGAATTCAGTGCAGTCTGGTAGAAAGTTCTAAAACTTTCATAAGATCTAATATGACATCTCTAGTTGTAGACGTACGTTTTGATTTCCCCGCAAGCCTCATCAGTGCCACATGCCATAGGACTCACTTTTAATATTAAAGAGAATCGATGCAGTACATTATGCGATCAAAAGTCAGTCGCTTCAAAAAATTAAACATCAAGTGACCGTTCCACTTGACATAAAGTATAACTTCTTTGACGTCGATCCTTCATAAGCATATGCTAATGATGAGACTTACAAGAAAGCCGAAGCGTATGTCCATTATTGGAAATGCCATACCAGGCCTCATGAAAGCCTTAAAACATATTATCACACTGCTATCACAACTTGCTGTGCGGACCAAAGCTACTTTTGCAATCGATTCGATTGCTCGCATTCATCTTCCACAAAGTTCTTAAAACAGCTTGCGCGCTGTTTCGACTACTGCTCGAGGACTTCGCTTTTTTTCGTGGATGCATTCTTGAATTCAGTAGAATGCCGGTTGAGACGATTCCCATTGTAATCCTTGAGGTAGCTGAGCTAAGGTGTTCCCATGAGATACTCTTCCATGCTGCTCATTACTGGTTCGTAGAATTTTTATGAAAATGCCTCAAGGTTTTTGAGCAATCAAAATTGTATTTTCCTATACAGGTACTCATTTCCATATCAAATTTTCTCTGTTATGTTTTTGTGCCTTATGTTTACCAGTATAGAATCTTGTTTGGCTTTGATATTTACAAATTGATGCTCTTTGCTACGGGCAAAAAGTATTCTATATGTTTCATCAATATATTCGTCCCCAATGCTTCACAGGAAATAAGGTATATTGTACCCTCAAGTATAGGAGAACCCTAGTTCGACTTCTGCTTTGCAAGCAGTTAAGGCGCATTCAGGATGCGAGGAAATTTCTACCAATTCTTTCAAATATTCCACAGTAAAAATACTGCATAAACAAATGAATTCATTCAGTTCACGAACTAATTACGTCTCTCAGATCAACAACTATATCAATATGAAGAAAGTTCATAACAAGTTATTGAATCTTCTTCTTTCAACTTCTATACATTTTGGAAGTCGGCTTGCGGAAAGTTTTAGAGATACTCGCACACGTTTTCACCTTAATTTTTTCCCAAGCGCGTGTCAAAGCAGTTTTAAGCACGTCAGCGCTAGTGTAGCGAGGAGACTTTTTCTTACAGTATGGACCAAGCAGAATAGTCCACTGCTATCAGATGTGGCAAGTTTGACCGCCAAATTTTATTACCTCAAGAGCTTGTAAACACCTTATGGCAGATGGCATTTGTTGAGCGGATCGAATACGCAAGAGTCCGCCTCTGCTGTAGCGTAATTCTTTTGCGCCAAAGTTTTGAGCAGCCCGAAGCTCCAGTACCCCACCGTAAAACTTGCTGCTTATCGTTGGCAGCGTTTATTATGACGTTTCTGATGACGCCAACGGCGTCGATCCAGTGGCAAATTCTGGCACCATCGAAGAGGCGTAAAATGGCTGCAGTTTGTCGTCGTCCCCTATTGTGGGCTTCTACTGACCCTTCTTAAGAAGTTCACGGCGATTCTGGAGATTGCGGAGAGGTTGGACTACGAGTATCTTCTCATCCGTAAAAACACTTTTGACAAGCGAGCGCCGTCTATCAAACAAATCAAACGGTTAGCTTTTGAACCGTTTTTCTTCTATGCCATAGTATCCAGATAGTGAACACAAATGATCTTGCAACTCCGCAGGTTCAAGTTATTTTTGACAATGTTTAGGAATCCCCAGTCGCTGACCCCGAGCTTCCCGAGTCATTTTGCACATCGAACGCTCCCGATTTCGTCGTTCTGGCAACGAATCTTTTGAATGTCTTCCGGAGTAGACAAAGTGTTCGGATGACGCTTTTAAGGACGGTCCTCGACCCCTCTTGTCTTCTTTGAACATACTCTCTGGCTTGAAACTAGTCGATTTTAACAAAGTCGACCGTTTATGTCTTGTGTAGCCCAACTAACGCGATACGTTCATTTATACGATCCATAACTTAAACACAACTGAAAATAGACAATTAAATAAAACAGATTCTAGACCAAAAATGAACAGAATATCGAATAAGATTATCAGAATTATTTCAAAAAGTATGTCAATGCTAAAATTAACAACACACAAAATTAATAGAACTTTTCTTGCACCCTATACATGAAAACCACAATTCGACTTTTGCATTTCTGTATCTGGGAAATTAGTCATTTCTTTACTCATCAGCTCATTTTCTGCCTTTTTTTTTTCGTAGTCTAAAGCGATAATTAAAGCCACAAAGACGTAAAGCCGTTCTACATCTCCGCCATTCCCATTATCCCTTGTTTACACAACATTTTCGTGTGCATGGCAATTTTTGACTTGATAGGTGAAACGTTTGATTCTCTTCCATAAATATGTGGGGTTTAAATTCTAGTCTAAATCATGTCAACTATTCAAAATTGATCGTACCGCAATCGAGGGGGAATTGAGCAATTTTTGTATTAGTGTAACCAATATACTACAGCAATCAAATTTTGACGAGCTGCAAGTCAAAATCGTCTCACATGTAGACAAATTGCTTCCATGAAAATGATGGTGAGGAGAAACAGTATAATATCTCTGAGAAACTCATATTTGCATCCGTTCAGTTTACTATCGTGGCTAAGGTTATGTAGGCAGCAATGCCACCGTTTACTAATGTGGTTTTCGTGACTTGCTACAATATTCTAAGACGTCATTATCTCACACCATTACAGTAAGCACATAAAACATTTGCAGGAGAGACTTCCAAAAAGCATCCTTAGTCAGTTTGTATTTTCATCATTAGGTTGTGATCATGTTAGAAGAAAAAAAGTTGTTCTTTGGTGAAATAGTCTCCACGTTTAACTTGATTTGCACTAAGGCTAACCTCACCACCATTTGGGACCGAACCGCACCGATCTATTTGGGCCTCGCCGTCAATTGAAGAGGCGATCAATGCCGAGCACTGCTGTAAGCACGTGGACCACCGTAACCGCTCCCTGACACGTTCTTGTCGCCACATTCTTATCATGATTTAAGACAGTACAAAGCTGCAAATCACCAAACTGAAAAAGAGAAAGTTGACCGAACTGAGCTGCGGAGATCCTGGAGCATCCGCAGTGCAGTGCTAACTTGTCGCCGTCTAACTGTCACCTCTTGAGCTCGCTGTAACAATTCCTTAGAAAAAAAGAAGTCTCGAGACATCAATCATTAGTCTCGAGGATTAACAATTTTCTTTGAATCCAACGATGACGAGTTCTTTGAACATGACGGGAATGTGTTCAAACTGATGGTGCATACTTTATATAGTGTTGTTGATCAATATTAAACACTTCTGGTCAATAAATCTGGTGTTTAGTGCTCACGAGACTTGAATCCCCATTTCACCCCAATCCTGAGGAGTGTGCTCTATCCCTTGCACCACGACGCCTTTTCTGACACCACTCTTTTTTGCCCTACAACGCACCTATCTATCAGCAGCCAACCATCACGGTTTAGCCCAGGTAGTCGCTATCGATACTGAACCTAGTCACGCTGACGGATATGGGTATTAGATCCTCAAACAAAATATTTTTTTATCTAACCGCTTCTAGCAACATATACCTAAGAGAATTGAGTGATGAGCAAAAACACGGCCCCAGGCGGGAATCGAACCCGCATTTCATCCATGCCGGGGTCGCGTGCTCTACTAGTACACCACCCACCGGGGCACATTTGCGCCACCGCTCACTCTTCAACATCTCTGTGTTAGCTATCAGCCACCAACCTTTAACAGGTTTGGTCGAGTATGCGATTTCGCTTTATAAACCCAGTTGAGCTGATAGCCATTGCAATAACTAAGACTCAAAATTTCTAGTATTTTTACTGCATTTTTTGCAGTGTTATGATGCTCTCAGCTTTCTTAGGTATATGCGAAACATCATAACATTGGGAAAAATGCAGTAAAATACTAGAAATTTCGAGCTTCTATAATTGGCATGATGTTTCAAATATACCCATTGATGTAGAGTAATGTGCAAAATATTTGTGTCAGCTGGGACTTGATCCCGCATTTCGCCCCAATAGCGCAGAAAAAGTGATGTCAAACAGGCGTCGGTGATGGAAGGGATAAAGCACGCACACCGTATTGAGTGAAATACGGGTTCAAGTCTCGGCTGACGCAAATGTTTTTCACATCACTCCACATCAGTGTGCATATTTGTAACATCACACCAATGTTAGAGGCGGTTAAATGAAAAGGATTCCTGTATATACGTATATATACATGCTTGTTTATAAAAGGATAAAGCTTTCGGGGTTGATCAATCCCTGAGGGATGCGCCATGCATTCGATTTCAATATTTAACTTCGTTTGAGGCGATTGAATGCATATCTAGCCTTTACAATGACTCGTGGAGGCCTCCCGCTGAACCGAGTCAGTGTTGCTTATCCTCCCAGACAAGTCTGAGACCTGTCTGGTACCAATTTCCTGACCCCGGAGGGATAGATGGCTTGGTGAGCCATGAGCGCGAGCTCGAACCATTGACCTCGTGTGCGACGCAGGGCACCTCTAACCACTGCGCCACATGCTCATATATATATATATATATATATAATATAAGAGCGTATGTGGCGTAATGGGTTGAGGTGCTCTGCGTCGCACACAAGGTCAGTGGTTCGACCTCGCCCTCGTGGCTTACCGAGCTTTCCAACCGTCCGAGATTGGTAAATTGATACCACATATGTCGTCTGAAAGCATAAGCAGCACTCACTTGAAACATCGGTAGGCCACTACCAGCTATTATGGAGGCCACATATGCAACCAGTCACCCTCTTTACTTCTAGCACTTTAATATCAGTCTACACGGTAATTTTTTTCCACTCACACATCCCAGTACTTCCAACATTTGATCGTTTTTTCGTCTTCTTCTTGCAGCGTCTTAGAGTACTGATTGAGGCGTCTCCTTGCACCTCAAAGTTAGCCTGACTGTGGAGTTCCATAGGACTTTTGTTGTTGATTTCCGAAAGGTATTAGAGAGTGAAGCTCAGCCTATTGTCGCGGCGACCATCACAACCACTCTTCAGCCAGAGCGCCCCTTCTCAAGCACCTCAAATGGAATTGAAAAGTGAATGCGACTGAGTGGCGCATTTGTCAGAAATTGATCACCGCTATATATATATATATATATATATATATATATATATATATATATATATATAATATATATACATATATATGTGGAAGGACAGAGCTCTTGGCATTGATCAATCCCACAAAGATGCGCCATCTTCAATCTTGAACTTGTTCGAGGTGATTGAATGCATATCTGGCCTTACAATCACTGGCAGTGGCTTACTGCTCCATCTAGTCAGTGCTGCATATCTTTCTAGGCAAGTCTGGGAACTTTTTGGTACCAAGGTACCAACCTCGACGGGATGGATGGTTTGGTGCGCCATGAGCGCGAAATCGAACCATCGACCTTGTATGTGACTCAGGGCACCTCTAATCACTGCGTCACATGTGTCCCCAATACATATATATGTGTATATACATATATACATATATAAATATAGTATATACATATACTCTTGCTTATGGAAGTCCTACATTCTAGCCGTTTGTTCCTAAATCGACTTCGATCTAGGAGATAGCAATCTGAAAATCAAAAAAAAATCTGAGCCTTGATCATGCACTTCGTCCACGAAGAAACAAAATATTCTTCTTGCTTTGAAAATGCACTTTTGCAAGTTTCAAATGTAAGTATTACCCTTACATGGCGTTTTGGCTTTTCGGTCATTGAGCATGATGCTGCAACGAGCAACTGATGCTTGTTAACAATTTCTGCCCCAGTGTGAACATTCCGCTATGTGTTCTTACCCTAAACATCTATGACGAAATTTTTCCACCTTAGTTTCAATACACTAATGACAGTTCTTCGTTATCTGATGGATATTGTCCAAACACTGCCTCATAAATTGGTTCAATATTTCACATAGTGTCATTTGCCTCACCGACAGCTGGCATTACGTGGGAAGTACTTTACATATTTACCTAAACAAATCAGTGTTTTTGGAGTGTAGATGTCTTGTAGTCAATAATCAGTTCATGGTCGGCCATTTCTACTTGAAGAAGAGTTATTTCGATTCTTGACCCTTTGACGACCAAGCGATCCCATCGTGGGTGTCTACGCTTCGAATCTACTGCTGATCAATTCCTTGAAATCGTCATTCTATCATTGGTTCAGAATATGGCAAAGGACACATTGGGTTGTTTCATCATTGCCTTTGTACCATTGTTGTAATTAGTTTCTTTCCATTTCAAATTGGCTTTACCAAAAAGTGTAGTATGTTGGAGAATGTTATGGCACCTTGGACATACTTTTGGATACGGTCGCAGCACCATCGCTCATCGCCTTAATAAGATGGACTGCCGCAAATTCATGTTTCAATGGACACTTCACATGTATCGCTCTGGAATATTAGCATCGGTAAGCTTTATACATTCTTAACGATTAGATGGCCAAAATTTATTAACTCTCTAACAAGTATGCACCAAATGCGGTACTCACACTGGAGGATTTGTGGCCCTTTGCAAGCATTTCTCAAGCCCTGAAGGTCTATTTTCTGAGCTGTCCCATTACTACCTGCGCATTTCGACGCTCCTGTTAAGTCAGTTGTTATTTATTCGCAAAAGTCGAATGATCACCAAATGTGATCCCCTTTCATGATTGAAGATATGCATATATCTCCTTGGCAAAGACTGTGTGCCTTTATCCCAGAGCGGTGAGGACAACGATCAAAGAAGTCGTTAAGACTCCTTTTGAGTTAGTTGTTCCACAAATTTTTCTCTGAAGATGCTGCTCTAAGAAGAGGATGAGATAGTAATCTGATGGATAATACGAGGGCTTTGCGGTGAATGTGGCACCGTGGTCCAGCCCTCTCTCTTCATAATATGATGAGTCGTTTTGTAATGTGAGATGGTCGGTCAATACATAGTCATTGTACACTGTGCTATCGCCACATACGCCTCCCTCCTTGCTTCATGCAGGGCTTAATGTGAGGCGTGGGTCACTGACGAGAAGGTCGAGACCCCAAAACCACTTGTATGGCTCTGGTGTTATAACCTCGGTAAGGCTGTGAACCTTTGCAATAATTATACTGAATCTTTGGTTTAGGAAGAGCTTATTGACAAACTTAGAAAGCTTATTGACCAATTATATCGAATGTTTATTGCGAGTTTAAAAAGCTCTCAATGCTATGAATTATTCTGAAATCGTTAGTTGTGGGTTAGACTGTTTTGAAAAATTCATTACTACTGATGCGGGCTGCCTGTCATAACGAATGTGCTTGATAAGTGTATGGAGCGATAAAGATGGACTTTCTCAATCGATGAGCGTATTTATCATAATTTCCTGAAGGACAACGAGCAGAGTGGTATAATCCGTGGACACACCGTCAATGTAAAATTTTAGCTTTTGTTGAAGAAAGAAAAGATTTGCATTGTTGCGAGAGTGTCATTACTATAGAAGACAAATGTAACTTCTTTTATAAGTTTGTAATCAGATTAAATCGTTTGTGTACAAACAAATCAATGATTCAAAGATTAGAAGCGCTGGAAAGTCTTTCAGAGCTTATTGACCAAATTTTTCACAACCTTGCACTGAGGAAGCTTTCCTGAAGTCTGCTAGCAAATTCTCCAACTCTTCTCGCACTAGGAGCCTTAACGAAAAAACGCGATTCAATTGTTCGCTTCAACATACCAGAATTTCGCTATGACAAAATAGTGATCGAAGCTGGAATTTATCCTTCACTCGTCCTACGTTACATCTAAACAGCTGCGGGTACTATCAAACGAGTTTTGCTCGGATAGCAGTGGGTAATAAAAAGTATTTGTGGAGAAAAAATCTCCTACAGAATGTTACAGACGTGACCACAGATGTGCAACTATTCTTTGCAATAAAGATTAACTCGTGCGACATTGTGTTGCTTCAACCAGTTATCTCTCAACTTCAACTCATCACAAAATCAGTCTTATCAGCCACTACTTAGCAGTCTATCTGGACAGTGAGAATCAAAATTGTCTATTAGGACTTCGTTGGTGTAGTGGAAGCAAGCGCCCCTGACAAGGATGAAGAGCGGATTGATATTTCATCTACTGTCATTTTGCGCACCAGTTAATCTTCTTGAATGGATTTTCTCAACATCACACCGCTGCTAGAAAGCAGTAAAGATAGATAAATGACAAGGCTTATATATATATATATGTATATGTATATATATAATATATATATATATAAATATCGAAAAGCTGTCTGATTAAGTGTGCATAATACCGAGATGTGCCTATGAGACCGGACCTGTTGGGGTTGATTGCTAAGAACTTTGAAACTTCATGGATACTGGAAAAAAATTAGTATTTTTTGATGGACTTCGTGTTGTAGTGGTAACACGCTCCTCTGGCAAGGTTAAATCGCGGATTCAACTCGGGCCTGAAGTTGGACTTTTGCGTAGTGCTCAGTCTCTTGTATGACTATCCAAAAACTCAATATAACTAATTGAAAGACATGTATTAACATGTCATTAGCACCAAAGCTCTTAATCGTGAACACATGGAGTTCTTCTTAACGTAGAGATCCCGACAGAGACCTGCTAAAACACTTTTGAGCTTGCGACAGCGACCTATCAACGGCCCTTGTAAATTTTTCGCCAAATCGATCGCGGAAATCTTTTT